TTCCTACTCCTAGATCAACTTTCTCTGAGCTGTGATCGTTGTCCGAGTCCCTTTTGAGATCGAACATGGGGTCCGGAGGACCGGATTTGATGTGCTCGAACATGTAGCAGAAGCGATTCGTTCGTCTCGAGGAGTAAGATTGTTGTGTGAACGATGACGAAGACCCATCAACTCTCCAAAACTGTCTTCAAATTATTACTCAAAGGTGGTGTGATAAGGTTCTCTTTCAATGAGACCGGCGGGCGGTAACCGTGGCCGAGATAACAATGTGCCAACATCCCGGCGCCCCACACCCAACTTACACGGGCTCGGCAAGGGCTGCCGAAACGTGCAGGACGGCGGGAACGGCTGCCGAGAGTAGTGAACGTAAGCTGACGTTTCCATCTACCCCTCAAAATGGCAGTACGAGGATTGGTTATTTATGCAATGACGGCGATCAAGTTATTGGAACACAGGGTATCGATCGGTTGTGGTTAAGTCGTAATCAAATTCTTCTCATTTCGCCATGGCGTCCCTCTTCACCAACAGCTTGAGCCGTCTCAGCGGAGCCGGCAAGCTATGCACGGTCAGTCGATATTTACGTGGGAGCATTTCGGCGGCTAACGTTTTATACTAGGCGATGGGAATCAGGCTGGTGACCAATACCCAAGTCGTCCATTTAGCGGCAAACGGAGGCTTTGATGCTCTCTTCATTGACTTGGAGCACTCAACACTTTCCATCCAGGATGCAAGCCAGCACTGTATAGTTGGCTTACAACTGGGCATGACACCCTTTGTCAGAGTCCCTTACCAATGTGGGAATGGTTTCATTCAGAAAGTCTTGGATGGCGGAGCGATGGGTGTTATCTTTCCTCATGTTCATGGTCGAGGTAAGACTGCGTCGAATGATGCCCAGCTTCAGCGAAGATTCTCACCATCCATACTAGACGATGCCAAGGCGGCGGTCTCGATATGCAAGTATCCTCCTCTAGGCAAGAGGTCCATCACTGGACAGCTCCCGCTCTTCTCTCTCAAGGCAACGCCCCAAGACACCATTATTTCCGAAACAAATAGAAACGGGTCTAGCGTCTTCTTGATGATTGAAACAAAGGAGAGCATAGATAACATTGAAGATATCGCATCAGTTGACGGCGCGGATGTGCTTCTGGTTGGGTCTAATGACCTGGCAATAGAGCTAGGAGCGCCAGGACAATTTAGGAGTAAGGAATTTCGGGCGGCTATGGAGACAATCAGTCAAGCTTGCAAGAAGCACGGGAAGATCATGGGTTTAGCCGGCATATACGATGATCACGAGCTTCATGACTGGGCAATCAACCAACTTGATGTACGGTTCCTGCTTGGGGGCCAGGACTCGGCTATCCTGGCGAGAGGAGCAAAAGAGACCATGGCAGCAATTTCGAAGGTGCCTAAATGAGGTCTGGAATTGGGAATGCAGTTTGATGAAAGCGACATTGAATTTCGAATCGGCACGGGATTTTCTTGTTATTCGTGAATAAATACATGATGTATGCCGTATCCCTTCTACCTATTCAATAGCTAAGACGTCCGTCTGATTTTGCCTATGACGGCTAGCCCATCGGATCGCCGGTCGCAGTAAGACAGGGATTACATCATCGACTCCAACTCGTTTGCAAGATACTTTTACTCTCTCCCCCAGTCAACAATTCGCGGATGATAATTTCTTCAATCAATAATACTTAACTGCTGTATCAAAGGTGTACCGACTGGGTCATCATGTCGTCTATCATTCTTAACGTTCCACGCACCGTTCTTACAATCGAGTATTTCATCGGCGGCTGGCCCAGGATTAGCTCTTGGCCTTTCAAATCCCTCCACGAGAGAATCTACCGAAAATCTCAGATCACAGCGCCGCATTTTCATCCGGTGTATCCCTTTACGGATCCTCGTACCACCAAGCTACACATGCAATACATCGGTGTGTTGATGGTCATGGAGGGGTTCTTGTTGGCTTTCTCATGGACACGAGCGTCTGTCGTCACTCTCTTCCTCGGCTGTTTCCTGACAAGTTCAGGGTATTGGAGCCAGATGAGGGCGGGAATGCCTTACTGGCTTCCAGTTACAAACTTCATACTGGCATGGGTAGTCTGGTTCATCGAAATGAGACATTCAAGTGGCAACTAAGGCGGGGCGAAACCCAATATTTGACACACTCAAATTGAAGCTGCGTTTTTCATTGACGGTTACCTAACGGACATTCAGCCAATAACATGCAATTATTTCATGCTTCTGAGGACAGGCTCAGATGATGCCAAAACCTGAAGAGGGTATTCTTCATCCTAATCATTGGCGTGAACGCCAGTGCATTAGGGGCTACTATTGAAATGTCCGGCTGCGATAGGTTTCTGTCCATAAACTGACCATCTTACACTTTGATTAGTAGAGCAGTAGTTATCCATGCCTTCAAGTACTCACATCGAGAAGTACGCATGGACATTTGGGTCCTCAAACTCTGCCCGGCATCTTTCCATTAGTAGATCTACCTCTTCCTTCTGCCAGCCATGAGCCCGAGTCAGATTTGCGAGGCACACCCCTTCCCATCCTGTGGCCAGGTTTCTGCTCATCCACCAAGCAAGCTCTTTGAATCTTGGTTCTCTTGGCCATGGATTTGTCGGTCACTTAAATTGGAGGAGCTCAACATTCACGAAGCCTGCATTGATGAGTATGGTCTTGAGGCCACTCATATACCTAAAAGGCCGGCCAAAAGACTCTGCTGCTGACTCCAACAGTCTCACGGACCTAACAATAGCTGACTCATCACGCAGACTACCATCGTCTGAGATAGGCGCTATATCACACTCGTTGAGCTCTAACCACCCTCCAGGATTGAGATTGCTACCAGGTAAAGTCAGCTTTTCCTCCATGCCTGTTTGTGCCGAATAGACGATTGAGAAAGACTCACTCATAAGCTTGTGCAACATATTCATCCCAGTCGCCAATATTTGAGTTCATCATGCGACTATGGATGTAATCGAAGGGCTTTGACCATGTCCAACCCTCTTCAATATCGTCAATCTCGAACATGACATTTGCAGGGATACTTGAAACTGTGATGAGTACAGGTGCTCGACCTTCTGCAGTACACAGTGTACTCACAATTCCGGCTGAATTGGAGAAAGGTCCACTCCGATGATCTGAGAGCTCGGCTTTTCAACAACAAAATCCACAGAATAAGAGTAATGTCAGGTACATACCTCTGCCTCTGGGTGCTCATCTGCAAGCTCGATGGCCCAGAGTCCGGTTCCGCAGCCCAGATCGAGAACTCGGCCAACCTTAGAGCCTTCATGAAGCGAAGGTGCATTAGCTAGTCTGCCATTGAAAGTCAACCTGAAGAGGTGGTGTTGAAGATCTGTGTCGTCGATTAGACAGCATTCATTGATCTTGCTCGTTCTGGAACTGGCAACCTAGACGTTCGGTTTCGGTTTCATCGTTGGGAAGGGTGTATTCTCATTTTCACGTCAGTGTCTCTTCATCACAACAGAACGCAACGACTTACTTCCGTCTTTGTACTTGTGGTATGTTCTCCCATTTTCAAAGCGGTGATCGAAGATTGGGCTGTTCAAGCTCCTGATAGAATTTGCTGCTCTCACAATCTCTACATCCGCTGCTTCGTCCTCGAAACCCTACTTGGATTTAGCCTAGACCTCGAGATCCACCAAAGTTGTCAAGCTACCTCGTCCGCCACCAGAATGATGTGGCGATCGGCGGCATTGGCGAATCAGGCACCATCTGAGTTCATTTTGACAGAGTAGATAGCCCCTTGAACGTATGCCACTGCGTGGGAATCATTCATGAATTCGCGCGCACAAGTCGACACTGTTGCGAGGATGCTCAGCAGGAAGAGATCGAGAGGGTTTATGTGGTGGAAGTGAACACCAAATCCCGCATCTGGGCCAAAGTTGTCTGTCTGTCCTAGGTACCACTTTTCCCAGGACTTGTTCCAAAGATAGAAGACCAGTCATGTGTTTAAATGTTCTTTTGCGGTGTGGCTAGTCACGTCGTAAGGCTACTTCGCGTGCTGAAATCAGCAGGGATTAGCAGTTTTCTTCCTTCTGTCTATTAGTTGGTCCGGCGTTTGCTGGTTTGTTGGTGCTGGGCCGTTGGTCGCAGATGTGATAGCCAATAAGCATGCCCGAATATGTGCCAAAAGCCCAGTTGGCCGCATGAGTAATGGGTCATTGCCACCACATATGTGGCCACTTTGCTGTTGTGTTGGTTGCGGCTGGTGAACGGGTGATATCTCTTTGCTCGCCTACCCTTGTTACTGCACGAAACCATGGCTCCATTTGGACGTGATTATTGGCGCCAATACTGCCGTCTGCGAACCCCATGTCATGCTCGCGAATAGCACAAGCCCCAGCCACAATGAAATGAGCCACCAGTCGCGTAGATGATAGCCAAACTCGCACTTCTGAACATTCCAGGCGACGGAACTCTTAAGATTCAGCGGGCATTACTTCTGCGAAGGTGTAGCGCTTCATAAATACCCCGAGAAGAAAGCAAGTGACCTGTCATCCATGTTCAGTTGCATATGATTAAATACTAAAGTGCTTTCATTGCATTGGTGATCTGGCATGGGAATGGTTGGATGCAGCACAGCGAAAATAGTATTTCCGGGTTTATCACAAGACAGCAGTCACAGTTCATGACATTCGTTGATAGAGCTGATCATCAAAAGGCGTCAAAGGCGCATGAACATAATGATCGATGTATACAGGGCTGGATCGAAGCACAATGCAGGAGATTTCTGTGGCGATTTTATGTCCTTGCTTCCGGCCTTTTTACCAAGAATAGAAGCATGATCATGTCCAGGAGGAACCATCAATTGTTATCTTGACCTAATTAGACCCGAGTGGAAATTTCATTCCTTTCGTGGCCAGATCTAGAAATCAGGTGCTAAAACCCGTATTCGGACCACCTGTCATTGACCTTATCCTGGATTTCTTGCGAATAAGAGCCTTTGAAGGACCCATGCTTCCAACTCAGTTCTGAATCTGTGAATTCAGCGGGAAACATACAACAACGCACGACCTTAACATGGTTCCTTCTCTCTTTGATACCATGGCTTACATATGGGATGAGAGGGATGTTACCGTACGCGTCGAAAAAGAACTCGTTGATCTCGGGTTGGCATCTAGTTGCCTCAGCCCAGATAAGCTCATTGAGATTGGTGGGGTCAATGTCTTCTCCAACCAGGTAGATCTTAGGAATGTAGAAACCAGGTTTAGTTGAAAAGACAGTGTGGCCAACCTTCTCACAGAAATCTTTCATGTTGGTCTGAAGCGCGCGCAACTTGGACCAGTTGACCTGGAGGACAAACCAGAGGCAGTGAGACTCAAAAGGACTCCACACCATTTCAATTGGCAGCTCGGCGGCTTCGCAAATATTGAGAACCTCAGCCGCCTGGGTAAGAGCCCAGACTGTCTCGCTCTCCTCAGTCGCCCTCCCCGCGACACAAATGGGGAGAATAGGATCATCTCGGTAAGTGATGGCATCGATGTTGAATACTGGACAAGGCTTCCCTGATCCAGGGAACACGTGCCCATGGTACTCGACAAAAGGTCCTTCGTCAGCGGTCTCAGTCCTTGAAACGACGCCTTCGAGAACGATCTCCGCATCGCGAGGAACCCAGATGTTATTGGTCTCGGACTTGACGACATCCACAGGCTGACCAAGGAGAGCCCCTACGAAGCCACTCTCATTCACACCCTTAGGGATAGGCATTCCGCCGACCATGATGGCAGCAGGTGGTACACCAAAGCAAAGAGAAAAGGGCATGTCTTCGCCTCTGTCTTGCCACATTTTTCGAATGACACCGATATCTTGCGCCGACATGGTGGGGCCGGCCAGAGACCGTTTGCCATTAACCATGCCGCGGGTGATTGACCAGTTGACCCACGAACCATCGGGACTCTGAACGATGTACATGCCGAATGTTTGCAAGTATTTACCGCCATCGTCTTCGTGGAAGAGGGGAACAGGAAGTTTTTCCAGGGCGATTTCATCTCCGAAGATCTTGTGCTCTTTGACCGGACCAGTCTCGAACTTCCTTGGAGCGATCGGTTGACGCTTCTTTGCGCGTTTGATGGCGTAGATGATGTCCCGGCCGCTGGATTCGGACGGAAGTCCCAACGACTTTGCTATGCGAATGAACCTCTTTCCCGGCAAACTGCTGGCACCCACAGGTGCTCCCAAGACCCGAAAGAGACCGTTCTGCTGGCGTCCTTTGATATTTTCGAAAAGAGGCGCTTTGTCTTCAGTTTCGTAGACCTTCCGTACGATAGCTGCTAGCTCAAGACGAGGGTCGACTTCTTTGAAGATAGACAACAGATCGCCCTCCTCAGCCAGCTCCTTGACGTACTGGCGGAAGCTGGCAGCAGAAAGGCCGCCGGATTGTGAAGGATGGGATGATAGTGCCATGATGATATGGTGTCTTCAACTCAGGGCAATTGAGACAAGGTGATAAGGGCAAAGAATTTGGACCGATTGATGGCTTGAGTCGCTGTTCAAGTTTTGAGCTCTCTGGCTCAGGTGATTATGCCGGCCAGATACCTAGACTCAGCTTGCTTTTAGCTCAAGGCGTTGTCTTTTGTAGCTAATGTTGTGACATGACCCAGCGCCGAGGTCCGTCGGGGGTTCCGTGGTGGTGAGGGGTCATCTTGCTTGGTTTAGAGTCGGACCAGGCCTAAACATCGCTACTTCACAGGCGCCCCTCATCATTTCGACCAAAGAGGGTCTTATGGGTCGGGCTCACAGGTGTCATGACCGTGAAATTTTGTTTTGGGCCGTAAAGAGCCTCGGGCGTCGTGAGCGAATTTCTTGATCTTAAGATCTTGATGCAGTGATGTGTCAGGAAACGGGCCGCATCTGGGTCTTCGAAATGGCCTCCCATGGGGGTTTCCGGAATTATCGGTATGTTTCTTACAAATCGCGCTTTCGTGACGCGGCGAGGCTGTTTTAAAGACTCGGGACAGCTCCCGTAGTTCAAGTCGGATGCGCAGCCGAAGTGTCGTGGTCCAGACCCAGAGCCTCTATGGGGAATTCGCTGGTCAAGTTACGTTATGGGCATACCAAAGGAGGAAAGCCTCAAACGTTCCTTGATTTATATCCGCGAATATTTCCCAAAATCCCCCACTAAAGAAACTAAAAGTTGACTTCACACACAATCTCCTTATTGCCAGAAATATTTCCGGATCCTGGCGGGGCGAGCTTCGGCTTTAGTGCCTTGCTATTACGTCCAAGGTCCCTCTTTGCTTGGGGCAGACCCATGTTTTGAGCCTCACCGTTGATGAGCCCTCGTGACTTTGAGACTTGCGTCTATTAGATCGAGCGAGGTATGCCACGATGGGTCATATACGTCACATTCCGGTTACTGTGCTTTCGGGATATCCTCATCTTGTTGAAGTATCTTGTCCTGAGCCATCCAACTCTTGTTTGACCGTTAGACATTGACGCTTCCTCTTGAAATTCCAGACAAATTCATAAAACGCAAACTGCTCAAGAAAAGCCACCACTCTCTACCCAACGGCCTTTTTGCTTCGAAATAGACCTCCTTAGATGGCAAAAATGACTGAAGAAAGCAGTCGAAACAACGCAGCTCCGCCTCAACCCAGGCGCAAAAGAATGATTGTTGCCCTCACCGGTGCTACTGGCTCCATCCTCGGCATCAAAACCTTGATCGCATTGCGCCGCCTCAACATCGAGACGCACCTCATTATCAGCAAGTGGGCAGACAGCACCCTCAAGTACGAAACGAGCTACACCGCCACCAATATTCGTGCTCTAGCGGACCACGTTTACAACAACCACGACATGGCCGCCCCAATTGCAAGCGGGTCCTATCGCGTTGACGGCATGATCGTCGTGCCATGTAGCATGAAGACGCTCGCAGCGATTAACTCGGGTCTATGCGATACGCTCATTGCGCGAGCTGCGGATGTTATCATCAAAGAACGCCGGAAGCTAGTCCTTGCGGCTCGCGAATGTCCCCTGAGCGGCATACACCTTCAGAACATGCTCTCTCTCACCCAAAACGGCGTCATCATATTTCCTCCAGTCCCGGCCTTCTACCATAGACCGGCAACAATAGACGAAGTTGTGGATCACAGTGTGGGACGGATGTTGGACTTGTTCGACTTTGACACCCAGGACTTTGATCGATGGGATGGATTTCAAAAGGACTAATCAACCGATAACGTGTGATATCTTTCCAAATAATGTTGCATTAAATACACTCCAGCATCGACCCACCGTTTTGAGAATAATGTCGAACGGCCACATAGGAATGTCGAGGAGAACCTGCCGAGAACTGGTTTACGTGAGTCGCATGCGATGAAAACATATTTCGGTGTCCCCAAAACACCCCTTGGTATCGATGAATGCAATCGCCTCGTTCATAGTCCCATGGCTCACTGGCTTTCGGTGACGCATTCATATCTACCCAAGCAGACCGCCGCCAATGGCGTTTAAATGAACGCAGTCGTCCAACCTACTCATGGCGTTATGCTTAAGACACCATCCCACTATCAAAATAATTAGCACATTTATCACGCTGAGTTCGTAGAAAACTTTGTAGATGTGGAATTGGGACGGAGCAGACATACTGCAATTCTTATATCTGTGAAGTTTGACAAGATTCCAGGTCTTTGAGAAGCACCTGTCATCACATTCGTACCAGCATCCCTCCTTGATCTCCTTGGGCCTCTTGGAGTGTCGGTCTGCTTGAGCCAGGGATGCCAGAGCGGCAACGACAACGGAAAAAAGAGCTGCTGGACGCATGGTTGTAGTGCTGACCGAAGACGATTTATTGCTAGCCGCTGAGCTGGAAGCGAGAAAGAAAAATTGGTTTTGAAGTTTTTGGCCGCAAGTAGACCTCGAAATCTTTGAGCAGGCTAGCAATATTTATATCTAAGGTAGTCAGTCCGACGCAAAAGGCAAGAGCCAGTATTGAACCACCTGAAATATAACCGTGGATCTTTGCGCCAACGAGGTGGCCAGAGAAGCCGGCGACAGTTGCAGATGTTTTCCTGTTTATTGATTTAATTTCAAGTGAAGAAGTTATATATCAATAAAGTAGTGTGAAGGCCCAGCCACCGGCGACGCCTCTCGCAATAATGAAGGCCACCAACGCGAGTACGTACAGGCCACCTGCGAAGATGATCACCCCATAGTATGCACCGCCACACCATTGCAGGATAGCTCCCGCAAATGGCACGCCTACCAACGCGGCGATGCTCGAGATGGAGAATGCAGTTCCACTCCTTTTGCCGTAGTCCTTCGTCTCACACACTCTACCGATGCACACAGGAGTCAAGCTAATAGCAGCGCCCGACCAGAACCCATAAAGAATAGCAAATGCCGTGGTCGCGGCCTCTCCTCCCTGTGCGTTCATCCAAAGAGCGAATACGAAAGTTGAGCATACGAGAGCCGTCACGCACATAACGTTGAAAGGTCCAAAGCGATCAGCGACGTAACCCGGCAGGGCACGCCCCGGTATGGCACCAACGTTGAGAATCGCGTTCAGAAGTAACGACTTTTGCAGACCCATACCCTCGTGGATGGCGTAAGAACATATGTAGGTGTAAGGTATGAAAACGGCAAATTCAATCAGAAAAACGGCCAGTGTTGTCAAGGCGAACTTTGCGTCTCGCAGCGCCGCGATGTCTATGGCAGCTCCGGCTTTCTTGTTCGGCGGTAGCCTCTTCTTGAGAAGCAGACAAGCCAACACGGATACTGCGAGACAGATGAATCCGACTGTCCTCAATGCCCAGGCAAATCCCACGCGTGGGGCAAGGTAAAGGATAATGAGCGGAAATATAACGCCCCCAACACCTCCGGCGGTGCAAGCAATACCGGTCGCGAGGGCTCGTCGCTCGGAGAACCAGTGGCCAATGGCGGAAATGCTCGGGTTAAAGAGGAGTGAGGCAGACATGCCACCGAGAACGCCAAAGGTAAGAAAGAATTGGTAGAACTCTGGGAAAGGTCAGACATGGACAGGCAGGGTGTTGGATAAAGTTCACCTTTGCATAAACTCATCAGCATGATGGCAGCCACAATACCGATGCATCCCGGTATAACGAGATATCGCACATCATGGGCGTCGAAAATAGGGCCTGGTCACAACACCAAATGAGTCAAACAAGCAAGACTGCCGATTGGGGGGTGTGAACATACCAACCTGAGCACCACAGAAGTACAGGAAAAATGCATAGGTGCTGAATACCCAACCAATCGTTGACTCCGGTAGCCCTTGTAATTCATACTCCGTGACCCAGGCCTGGAGAACAGCCAAAGTGTTGAGAAGCCCCATCGATGGGATCATAGCGCACCATGCACCAGCAACGACCAGCCAGGCATCTTTACCGCCCTCGGGGTATTTCTCAAGTTCTTCCGTGGCAATCATCTCTGCCGGTCGAGGCTTTAGTGTTTTTGAAACCTAGTTGATCTTTCGCACGACTCACCTTGGACGGCCGCCTCCGGATGTGGAGAGCCTGGATAGTTTTCTTCGAACATGCCGGGCAATTTCAGCCTCAATGACCAGCTTCTTCCTCTTGGATTGTGGACAGTGCTGCTGAGAACGAGTTTATCAATGACAACAAGACTTCTATGAACCTGAGGCTCATGTCACTTCAGCGACTAGACTTGCATTGTCTTAAGTTCGACCAATCGTACTTCTGAATTTTCGACCGGGTAGCCCACTTTCATGTCGGTTGTGTCCTGGAAGAGGTTGGCGAGCCCTCGGGCGTGTTTGACGGTGCGGATGTGGGGTTGATAGGCGTCGGGAGAACGAAAGCCGGATGGCGTGGTCTCCACCGCGCCGCCGTTGTTTGCAGTGCTTACAAATGGGAGTGTCGGTGTTGGGCGTCGTTGACAGCAGCAGCATTCGCTTTCAGTGCCAGTTATGTGACAAGCCAAGCCAAGATCCAATATTGTAGGTCTCGAGTAGCTGGTTGAATTTTATCCCAGTCGAGGGCCAGGTTGTGATTCGAAAACAACAAGGGGGGTAAGGCTCATTGTCGGTGAAGCTCGGTGGAGCACCAAAGCGCTGATGCTAGTCAGGGCACGGAGAGTTGACCATTATCATTAGGAGCTTTTTTTTAAAAAAAAAAAAAAAAAAAGGACTGGCCTCACTACCGTCGGAAGTGCCCGAGAGTCAATATGGGGCTTATCTCAGGTCGCACGTCACGTCATTCGCGGAGTAATCCGCGGAGGAAACACAAGTGGGGGTTGGGAAACGGTAGTGTTATCTGAACCCCTCACGACATTGCAACCTCAGGGCAGTTCCGGACTTCTTCTGGCCCGATAATGTATCAAGCGATTATCCCATCACTCAATTCAGCTTTCTCATATATCAAAGGAGGCTTATTAAACTGTCACAGGAAGGTCCTCGCGTTTACCATTGAAAAATGACTGCTGTTAGTAACGTGGAAAACGATGGAGTGAAAGTCATCACGATGTCCGAGGCTGAACGTGCCACTGGGTACTATAAACCTCAGACTCTTGAAAAGGCACTCGAAGCGATGTACCAAGATGGTTTTGTGGTGCTTGGTGGAGCGATTGATGTTGACTTCATCGACAAGCTGAATGAGAAGATGTGCGAAGACGCGGAAAGGAAGATCGCCGATCCCACTCAACTGTATAACCATGGGATCAAGTGTACGGTGATGGATTCCTCATCTGACTTTGACCAGACTCTGGTCTTGAAAGTTGACATAAACTGACACCATGATGCTTAGCAAATTTCCTTCAGCGACCCCCAGTCGATGGTTCGGAGTTCCTCAGCAAGCAGCTTTACTTCAACAGCTTCTTGCTTCAGACTGTGAAAGCGTTCGTCTCCCGAGGTATCTCTTTGAGTTTTTCGAGACAGCCGATCTAACTTACACGGTATTTGCAGGTATCTGGGCGGCAGGCCTATCTGGAACTGGCTGACTGCCAACACCGCGTTGTCCGGTACCAAAGGTCTTCGCCAACGAGCGCACAAAGACTCGTATGCTCACCCTCTTTATCCATACTATGTCATCGCGAATGTGCCTCTCGTGGATTTCAGCCCCGAAAATGGATCAACAGAGTTCTGGCTCGGGTCCCATCAAACCACGACGCCATCTGATCAGATCACCTCCAAGGATCCTGTTGCCGACGGGTACAATCGTGGCCGGCCCGGCGAACCTCTACCACCCATCTCAGAAGAGGCCAAAGCAGCACGCATGAAGATCCGCCCACCTATTCAGCCGAGGTGTGTTCGTGGGGACATTATGATAAGGGATTTACGACTTTGGCATGCCGGGATGCCGAACGAAAGCGCCCATCATCGGATCATGTTGGGTCTCGGATACCAAGTAAGCCTTTGAGTCGTTTCATACCCAGGTATCAGTTAAGATAGACGAGCTGACATTCTTCAGAGCCCTTACTTTCCCAACTATGACCAGACCATGCATCTACCTGAGACGCAAAGATCTTTCTTCTTGAACCATCCTAGTGACTTGATAGATGTTCGAGCGCAGTTCTGGAAGCCGGATGAGTTGGACAAGACCAAAGCTGACGAGGATTTTGAACTCCGAGCAGAATACCTCAAGTAGTTTGTGGAAAGCACCTTGACCAGGTCCAAGCGGCCATTCTGATACTCAACTATTGAGTCTTTGAACATGAACACTGCCTTCTATCAAGGTGGAAGCTTCTTCACGGAAGCTTCCATCATCACACATAGAATTCAATAGTAATTGGCAATATATCGAAACAGTTATAGTGCAGATATTGACTTTGCGCCGCAAAAGTATCGCTTGTACGTACTTAGTAGTACTTCATCATGGTACTCAACCCTCCTATCAATTATCACTCCAATGAGAACTATTAATGAATGTATTGTCAATAGTTCCTGCAGTTTGGGCCAAGCTGTCGGCTTTCGAGCGCGCAAAAAGTAAAAATTCATATTCAATCCATAGAAGCCCGGCCCTCGTACCCATTTACCCATTCAAGCTTATTCCGTCAAGCGGTCTGCAGTTCCAGCTCGCAGCTCGCTGCAAATGAGTCGCGCCTCCAGCATCTTTTTCACATCGTCATTCTATGATCTTCGAAGTAAATGACTCTCAAAAGCCCACGATGAATGTCTTTCCGCCCAAAAATGGCCCGTCGACGGCACCATACATCCAGCACCAATTCCATAGCGAGCCCCCGAAGAAGCGATCATTCGGCATTCATCTCAACAAATTCCTGCAATCTGGGAGTGATCCCGACCGCATACAGCTGGGACCGAGACCGTTGAATGTCCGCTTCTGGCTCACTGTTGCCGCGAGCCTGATCGTCGGCTACTTTGCAGTGGAGGTCCTGTTTTTCTGGATGTTTCGTGTGATTGGAATGCGTTGGAGCGACGTCACATTCTTGGACTTGTCGCTTGTTGCCGTCGCTGTAGCGGGGGCTTTTCTGGTCACATTCCTGGCTCTATCGTCAATCAGAAACCCCGGTGGAAAGCCAGCAAAGGGCCATCATGTCTGTTGATGGCGGAACCGGATCAAGTGTTGGAGGAGCACGATAGGAGAAGCTGGACCGGTCCACCATTCAATAATGATGCTCGGAAGCTATTTGGGGGACTATCTTGCTTGTCTTCGTGTATCAAACTGCAGCTGAGGTGCCAGCAACCAGTCGACATCGTTCACGGCGAATGTCCAGGGATGCTTTCGAAGTTGGGAAGTGCAGTTTGTCTGGGGCAAGGAATACCCAAGCCCGGTTGAGGTCTACTCGTAGGGTCCGTAGTGCAGACTTTGCTTCATGGTGATCTATTCCACCTCATACTTTGTTGATACCATCAAGATAGCGCCGGTGAAAGGCAACATATATCAGCCTACCCCATCCAAACTTCTTGGGCAATAAGAGCATAGATGCATTTTCATTGGCGCAGATGATAGAAGACCGCGGACTACCCAAGTCGATGATCGATATTGTTGTTGTTCTTCTGGGACACCCTTGGCTAATACTTGCGAGACATCTAAATAAATACATAGATCTTGCCAACTTCAGGAATGATCGTATCGTCCCTCGGGAATCCAAGCCATCCACCACGACTTGATTGCTCTGATTCCTTCATCCAGTCGACCGTAAGGTGCCCGTCAAAAGACGGAAAGAATCATCTGCTTTCCTAACCTGTGTCTCCCCTCGACATTCTTCATGCAACATATCCTATGAAACGCTAATCTCTTGTGCGCAATAGCATCCATCGGACAGCTCACAACGCGAGACAGACTTCCAAATGGGCCTTGCACGCCTTCAGGCCCTTGAAGAAAGGACTGGTTCATGATTCGATCATCTTAGCAGCGGAAGAAATCAGCACATGGATAATCCCACCATCGTCTCCTATTATTGCTCCGGATGAGAAGCTGCGCATACCCCAAGGACAGAAGCCACGACAGCTTAATCTTGATGTGAGTCTTCGCTTCGAACGCGTTCTTCGTGGAAGCAAACCAAAGCTTTAATGTGTCAGGCAGACACCTCTTTCAACAATTATTGAACAGGAGAGATCCACAGTCAACGCATTCTGTGAAGCTATGTTGGTCTCAAACAGCGATCACGACCTTTTCTAAGAAACCGTTCGAACTAGCGGTGAGACAAACTTTGCTGCATACCCGCTCACTGAACGATCCCAAGGGTAGGATCAACCACTCCGATTTGTGGAATTTTATCTATAAATCTAGTATGATCTCTGCGCCTCTTCTTCCCCTCACACGCCCAATTTCATCTGCAGTTATAGTCGTCAGTGTAGCTCGGATTCCTACCCTTTCCAGTGATGCCCCGAATCCTTGCCGTGTCCCCAGGCCTCTGTGTAAAAGGTATCTACTACAAACATTTGCGGTGGCAATGTCTTGCTATTGGCTTCCCCGAATAAGCGCAGTGTCCGAGTCACGCCCAGAGAAGGGATGAAATTCGTCCAGCTTCCGATTTTCGCTGCCTTTGCATGGAATCTAAATGTAAAAATGCATAGAGTGCTCGAATCAACGTACCAAAACGACCGTTTTGACGACTCTCAAGACGCCCGCAATTGTGGTACAACGTCAATATTCTTTTCGCGCAGTTATACAACATCAAGTCGCTCTAGTTTGCATGTTCATGGTGGTCCCGATATCCAAGATCTGAAAATACAAAGGGGGAACGCTGAACGTGAAAACGAGCCATCATGGAGAAGGAATATCCAATATTTTGGATCCCCTTCCCTCGGGTTCCTGAAATGATGGAAGAGTTGAGCGCAGCGGATTTTCAGAGCTAGCTGCTACTCGGCAGAGCTTGCCATAATGCTTTTCTAATCACGGCGAAAGCAAGAAAGTTGGCTTGTATCCTTTCGTCGTCCGTCGGTGATATTCCCAGAATACTCCACCACTTTTGTAGCCTGAGGGTTATGCCTGCTGCCTTGACCTTGAGCATGATTATGATCGGACACCCCGAGGCCTCCAATGAAGACCCAGCAGGAAACCACTATTCTAGTTGTTCAAACAATTTGGACCAATGAATACGATTGTGGTTCTGGCAATTGATCCAGTGCAATATCTAAGAGTTAATATACCTCGCAGTTTACCTTACCTACTCCAGTAGAGCATGTGGCCAAGACGCCACTGTGCTCAGTCACTACGGAAGGGGGCGATGACCACATACACACAATCAATGTGCAATGCAACTCTTTTGCAACCGAAATCTCGCTTGGTCTGTTCATCGCGCCTACCTCAATGGGAGTGATTGCCTGCCTCAGCTCCGGCATCACTGTCCTTCAAGAAAAGCACCAGCTAGGCGTCCCTGTCCAACTTTGTTATCTGTTCTCGGTATACCTAAACAAAACTCTAGAAACGAGCACCAAAGAGACCCACGAGACTCCAGCGGAGATCATGGAACGATAGCCGCACGTGCAATCTTGTTGTACAGACACCCACGATCATCATAGTTCGTAAAACAACGAACAACCTACAACAGCCAATGTATTTCTTGGTGCTCTCCCCCAAGTCAGAAAAGCAGCTCCTCTTATATACAAGAGCTTACCATTGACCACAGCATCTCAAGTACGCCAACCTCTCCGCCTCGGGACGCAAATCCCATAGCCATATACAGCCTATTTAATGGGCTTGCTTGCGTCGTCCATTAAAGCCTCCAGCAAATCCGCCCAGGTTCTCACAATTGAGGAGGCTCTTTCCCAGCAATGCCACGACATTTCACTCCGCTCGGTCTCAAATGGAGTACCACATCCACACACGGATACCCGCCAGGCAACTTCAGCCCAAGCTCCAGGCCTCATCATCAAACCCCATCCCCGTCTTCCTTGATATATACACAAACTGCATGAATACGCTGGACTGAGACCATTGAGTTTCGAACATCTAAGAGGACGGGCAAAACCCAGAGGCTAAGAACTATGCATGAACTCCAGGAAGGCTGCTGCGTCTAGCCGTGTCAACAACAGTTGGAATTTGCGCTGCTACCATAATCATACGGCCCTCGCAAGCACCCCTTTTATCACAACGCAGCTATCAGTAGATGGACCATGTCTCACAAGCATGCTAGCCCACGAGGGGCGTGGTCTCTGTCTCATGCTCATTTTGGTCAAGTCTCTCCTGCAATACGTCGCTATGAGCAACTACGATCTCACGTCTAACATGCTAAAGCCTCTTGATGGCTTCATTTCTCGCCTCCAAAGCCCTCTCAACCCACCGAATCCCGGGAGCACTCTCGAATCCATGCGGCAGTCCCGGCCACATGTGAAACTCAACCTCCACGTCCGCCTTGCTCAGCTTGGCCGCGTACTCAATACACTCATCCCTGAACAGGTCAAGCCCGCCAACATCGATGTACGTAGGCGGCAGCCCCCTCAAATCCTCAACACCCGCCCTTCCAGGCGCTGCGTACAGCGACACCTTCGCCGCCGGATCTCCCGCCTTGGCACCGAGTACGGCACCCCACGCGAGCCGGTTATCGTTCGTGTTCCACGCGAGAAACCTGTAGTGCCCCGCGGTCTCGGGAACGCTGGTCCGGTCGTCGAGCATCGGGTACACCAGAATCTGCTTCCTCAACCCCGGGCTCAGCCCACGATCGCGCGCAATCAACACCACCCCTGCTGCGATGCCAGCTCCTGCAGAGTCACCCATGATAACAATGTTGGCAGGGTCGACGTTCCACTCTCCCGCGTGATCCGAGAGGTGCCTCAGCCCAAAGTACACGTCCTCGGCGCCCAGCCCGTCCGGGAATTCGGGCGCGAGGCGGTAGTCGACCGCAAAGAACGGCAGCCCGATCATCTCGACGAACCGCTTGACCTGCGGCGCAAAGATGTCGACGTCGCATGTCACGAAGCCGCCCCCATGCACGTACACGACGGCACCCTGCGGCTCTGGCGCGTCTGCCATCTCCTGCGTTGCGAAGCGAACCAAGTCGATATTCTGCCCGTCGTGGGACTTGAATGGTATCCTGGTCTCGAGGACGTTCTCCGGCCACGGCTGGGCTTTGAGGACGCTGCGCAATGTAGGCTCGGACCAGGCGCGGAGCTCATGGACGTCTTTGAAGGGTGCTGGGCCTTCGCCGCCGGCATCCCTGTCGGAGACGACGGCCAGATACTCCGGGTCGAAGCGGAGGGCGTTGTTTGTAGCTGTGGTGGTCATGGTAGTTGAATTCGCTCGAGGTTGTGGTTGCATATGGGTTTCTGCTGTCGTTAGTGCAATGCGAATCGTGGCCTTTTATCAGCGACATCCGCCGATGCCATGGGTTCTGGATGACCTGCCCGCATTCCCGAAATTTGACGCCAACGAATCATGTTCCTCCACTTACAACGGCGATGGGCTCAGCAACCACCACCGACAGCTTCTACAACGGGAAGGAGCGGTTTGTAAGTGACCATTGTTCTCCCAAAATAATAACGTGATAGGACTGAGAAGCTAAGCAAGCATCATATTCCGCCAACAAGGGCGACCGAGAACGGATGTGAGCGGGCAATCGTGATGCCCTCTCAAGCTTAAATGTGGTTTGTAATCGCGGATGGCGAAGACGGACGAGCGCTTCTTCGCTCTTTTCCTCACGGTAACATGGCCCAGGTTCAGGGGTAAGATCCTTCGTTGAAGCATAACCGAGATTCTTCAATACCCTTCGTCTAACACCCATCATCGGGTTCGGGGCGTTACGATAGTCGCGAGGCGGAAGTCCTTCGGAATTGACGACGACAAGCAAAGGCGAGGAGACGCAACAAAGACTGCCAGAGACAGCGCTTGCTTGTCCTTTCTCGTAAACCCAGCTGTCTAGTACCATCGTGGCTGCGCTGGGACGGAGACATGGCCGGCACTCGCCCAGCATTTGCTCCCGAGCCCGCCATAGCTCACTGGTCTCTTGGCTTGTTGTGCTGCTCTGCCCTCTCGGCCAGCTTACACTCCCGACGCGACGGGGTCCTGCAGCGACTGGCGAAAAGCAGGATAGCTGCCCGCCGACGTGCGGGAGAGACGTAGCGCCCAAGGTCCAGACTGATCGCAGAATGACATATGCAGCGCGTCAAAGCGACCGCCGAGCTTGGCAGAATGTCGCGCAGCTTGTCCGGCGCATCGACCGTCGAAAATCGTCATCCCGGTAGCGCCCGGTTCCATCAGCAGCCATTGCTTCTGCGTCTCGATCGAAAACTCCAAACGAAACGACAATCGGCGACTTTCACGATGTCGAGCAGGCATCGAACGGATCGCTTCGCTGGGCATCGTCCATGTGAGCGGTTGCTACACTTGTAGCGTTCCCAACGACGACGCCGGTAATGGCGCCAACGCTCGAAAAAGCCACCACCCGCCCAGAAGGCTGGCCGGAGAAATCTCATCTCATCTCATCTGGCGGTGGGCGTGGATGCAAGTCCCACAACCCACGTTGCACAACTGCGCATCGAGGTGTTGTCTACGATCGGCTTCCGCATCTTGGAGCAACCCGTGTCTATCCTCAAGTGGAAAAGAGAAAACAACATCTGCTGCGAGATGCACCGTCTAGTTTTGCTTCTCCTGAAATGAGGGCTAGCTGTAATAGTGACGATAAGGTGAGTTTCTGTCACGCGGGCGGAAGGGTAAGTTAGGCTCCATCGTCCGGAGCTCAAACGTCGATCGACGCTTAGAGGTTCATCCGGATGGTGCAGAGCAGGGCTGATGGGGGATTGATTAAAAGGAACTGCGTCGCACCCGATCCAGAGGACGGTGGACGGGTGCGATCCAGCACGTTGGAATCGGCGCTGCAAATGTTCCGATGGCACGTTGGCTGGTCCGATCCGGCCAACAAAGGAACCAGCTCGCAGGGCCGGGGGGCCATGTCAGCGATGCGGGCTGCCCTGAAAACGTGAGGGGATCGTGAACTTCGGCCCCGTCCGATCGACAAACATGTCCTGTGAATCGGAAACCGGGACCCCAAAGCTCTCGACAAAGCCCTTAATCGCGGGAAGTCTACACGGCCAGGGGCAGAATGCCTAACACCCGCCGCGATCTAACCGTGCGTTGGATAACCACGCTGGCTGGCGGTGTGGAAGGCTCCGCTCCGATGCTTTCGGAATCGTCGGTAAAGCTGGCGGGGAAACCCCTTCTGAAGATGTTTCAATATGGGGCTGTTTTGTTCGCGAAGTCGATGGAAATTCTTGGTTCCCGAGGATCCTGCAGGTGAGTCAGTGGTTGCCGGTAAGCCTAAAATTGGGAGCACAGATGGCATGCGTTCCACCCAATTTGACATTGCAGTGAGCGTGACTGGAAACCGCACCTGGCATCATGAAGAACTATGCTGTGTCCGGGGTCTCAGCCGATCCAGATACGAGAGAACCGAACCCAGGAAAGGCGCCAATTTGTGCAACGGTCCGATCAAATGGTGAACAGTGACGGCCTGGCGGTGCCGGAGAAGCAGCCGGAGAAGTACCTCCAACGATGCCCGGTCTGCTTTGCTCCGAGAATGCTTCACACATGGCAAGTACCACCGCCGGTAACAACATTCAATCTGATTCAGGACCAGCAAGCGGAAAGGGTTAAATGGCATGATGTCTGGCGCCAGATCTCCTACTCACGGAAGGAGCCTGATTTCAGCGGGCGGCGACTAGCAATTGAGCGGGCTTGCGGGATGTTAGGTCCCCTCCTGCTGGCCTGGATTGGCCCAGGAATGCGACTGTTTCAGTGGCCCAAAGGACTTGGCTGGAGAGGAATTGAGGTGAAAGCTGGCATCGTCCATTTCAACCATCATCGAGATTCCGCAGCGCGCATCGACTGATGGGTCAGCATGGTTAGTCCCTTCGCGTACTAGCGACTGTGCCAGTCTGTCGGTTAAGGCTCCTTTGCAGTAGTTGAGCATACTAGCGTCGTCTCTATCCTGTAGCCAAGAAAGGAAGCTCTGTGGCTCTCCAAATAGTTCGCGGCCAGTAATCGCGATCAGCATTGCCTCTTGTCCGTGGTCGCCGAGTTCAGACGGACTTTAAGAAATCGATGCGAACGCATTTGCACACAGTTCAACTAGAGACCGCGAGACCTGAGCAGAGAGTGCACAGGTCTTAGAACAGGGTGTTCAACGGGGGGCCGCGCCGCTCATTCTCGGAGCACATTCCACGGTCTCAGAAACGGTGTCTTGCGGTGTCACTGGTCTGGACCATGCCTCGCGAGTCTGCTGTAATGAGGGACCCCGGGGTGAAATAAGGGTCCCATGTGCATATTGTCGCATAAGAGCCTAGCAACTGCTACAGCTTTCAGGGTCCTCGTTCTCCTGGTAGAGCAGTGTGAGAGCAACCTCTGGTCGTCTGCAAAACTCGATTGCAAGTGGGGACTGGACGCATGTACATATGTAGTATGCTCATAGAGGACAAGAATTCCCGCGCAGAACATGCCGGGAGGCTGCCATTCCCAACCGTCTAGCTTGACTAGACCCGCAAGACTTTACGTCAAGGCTCAGGAACGTGGCGTCAACTGCCCGCCGAGCATCGTCTAGAGACCCCAAGGCGTGGTCCAGATCTATGTCCATATGCCGGTGACTGGAACAAGACCCTTTTGTCGTAACCGTCGCGAGATTTGACTTTGTCCAGAAGATGCCACAAGCGGGGCTTATCGAATGGCAGCCACCGGTCTCGCCGCTCGCCGTTTCCTGAAGTTTGCTGACTCACGGGAAGGATAGGTGGGGGCGTGTCGCATTTGGAATCAACATGAGATCGGTATCCGGGGTAAGGGGCGCGTACGCAATTGGTCTGGGGCCTGGGGCGTCAAAGGCCGGGACGGCAGCGTACCTGTCCCGTGCGATTAGCTGGGCAGAAAGGAAAAGGCGTGAGCACCTGTATGAAGTAAAATCGAGATCCCCTGATCTCGTTCTGTGCTGTCGACTCATGTGTAAAAGAGGCGCAAGAAACCCAATAGATGGCGGAGAAGAACTGAGTGTTTGATGAAATCGGCGACATGAGTCGGCGCAACGTCATAATTCTGTAGGTGTGCTTTACAGCTGAAGCAACTGCGAGCCAGCACGGGTGTTGCACACAGAGGCCGGAACGAACTTCAAGCAACGCGGGAATGTCGCAGACGTGCAGTTGGGGAAACGCAAAATGCCATGGTTCGAATAATGGGAATTTGCGGGACCCGGCGCGTGTGTGCCCGCTCGGTTATCTTGCGTCTTGTGTGTTTCCTGCCTGTGGTTGATGGAGGGGAGAGATCGCTCTACATTGGGCCAGTGTCTCTGACCCTGCAGAGACGGGATGGACTTGAAGTGTCTCTTGATTTGCCACATGAAGTTGAAAGTAATGTTACCCAAAAGAACGACTATTCTGACCTGTTTTCTGGTTGGCCCTCGCGTTCGGAGAATGTTCCAGCCAGCTAAGGAATTCTGATTAGCTCAGCTCAACGGTAGATAATCTGCGGCTTGGGAGCATTAGGCGCCGTATTCACGTCAAAGTGATGGTACGCAATTTGGAAAACTCCCTCTGACGACGGAAAGATATCATACCTCGTGGCCGGCTGCGTACCGGGTAGACGAGCTTCCCGCGGTCCCGCTTGTGGCTTGTGGCTGGCCGCTAGCTCTTGCAAGTTGCCGTGGTGCACCCCTTGATTCTCATCAACTTGTGCGCCAACGTTGGGGATCTCTGGTACTTGTTTATCTAATCCGATCTTCAGGTGTGGCTGAACATTGGAGTTCAAGATATCGATGCGACTGGGGGCTCTACATCCCTACTGGGGTGAGTTTAAAGAGCGCCGGTGTGGAGACGGGGGGTGCTTGGGCTGCGCAAGAAAGCCCTTTGATTGGACATGATGAAGTTCGTCCCTACGACGGGGTGCGCTCAAGAACTGTTGTACCTCGAGGTATTTGTTTCACGCTCCAGCAAGTTGGCAAGCTAGATTAGGGCGGACTCTTTGCTCCGTCCTAACGTCGAGAGATGCCAATTATTAATGTTCGTTTGGCGACAATCAAGGGGCCAGTAGTGCGAGCAGAGCGTACCCGAAACGACAGTTCTTGTGGCCATTACCGCTCTTCTTAAGAGCTGCTGATCGATCTTGATGTGACGTCAAATCCCAGAGACTCGGGAGCATAGCAAGGACCATTTCAGACAGACGGCTCGACTGAAGGCATTGCCCGGTCGGCGATATTGCCATTCGTAAAGCCGGATGGTTGAGATGGAGGAGGCGAAACGTTGGTTGAAAAGGCCAGCGTCTCTGTTGCAGGCGTTGCGCCCAAATACGCCTCAACCTTTCGACGGCAATGCAGCGTAGGATGATACTGATGAGAAAGCAAGCTTCGTCCCCCTCATTAGTTCCCCCTCTCTTTCAGCGGGGTAACAGCTGTTCGTTGCATGGCTTGTGTCAACTGCCTCTGGTAATTCGCAGTCCGTGCCCATTTCAAGTAATCGTGAGACTGGGGAGCCCTGGAAGCTGTCACGTCTGGTTGGACGCATGTACTGCATTCAGTACGCACCTTGCTTGCTTCCCATTCCATTAGCCGTTTGGCGATTCTCCTGTAGCATGTGCTTGTGAGCTGGTCTATGCATATTCACAAGCAGCCTTGCCAAAGTATGCATCTTCGAAATGGCTTTTTGTGCCTTAGCCTTTGCCATGTGTTGAGCGCTATGCCAGTCAGAGATGTTGCTGGCGACACTTGAAGTGATTTGCTAGTCTGAGCCCAGGCTTTCGAAAACATCCGTCTTGTTTGCGCATTCGTTGTCTGTCTTTTGGGTTGCGCTGATAGCTAGCTGGTCGAGCATGCCACGGTCGTGTCGGATTTAACGCGATATCAGGTGCCACGTTCCCCGGCTTTTCTGGGAACAGCTATCCCGTCCAGGTTGGCGTACCCCGGCGACGCTTTTTCCCTGAAAGGTGGCAGTCGCGAAACGCGAAGCCTCTATGGAGGTCGCGGCGCAGTTAGCCGAGCCTTAGCTTCAATAGCTTGTGGGCTTTTTCCCGATCAGCAGCGAGGTCATGATCCTTGAGCGAGCCCGGGAAATTGGGCCTTTGAATGGTTCGAGCGGGCGGCCGGGTGATACCTCGTAGCCCACCTCCTACTTGCACAGACGGACGGTTCCTCGCTGTGCAGTAAAGCGCGGTTGGGTGCAACTAGGCGTGGCAGGGCAGTAGGCTTGATTCCACGGTGAAGGGCCATTCGTGGGTATCGATGTACCCAATCTGATCAGAACGGTGGGTTTTTTTTTTGCTTCGCCAGATGCTGGAATATTCCACCGAAGATGGCATGCGGCAACCCAATCGCCAGCAAGCTAGGGACCCTGGCAGTCGATGTCAGACCCTGAGGATCGATATCTGGGCCCCGGTTGGCCGAGTCCACTCCTGGTAGCCGAGGAGCGGACGCGGAGGGATTAGAACACCGAGCAGTAGAGCAGTCGGACAAACGATTCGAGGTGTCCTGCCACCAGGGGCTGCGCCGAGTGCTTTGGTTCGGTCATCGGGGTTTGGAACTCACCAAGTCTTCGATTGGACGCTAGATGCCGGGAAAGCAAGCAGACAATCCGTTCGGCGAGAGAGGGGCAACGGTATCAACAGTATTCAACAGAAAGGTTGGCTGTGAGGGTGTGGTCGAGTATTGGGCGACATCCGCAACGCAAGCGCAAGACCTTGGTGGTCCATCAGATACAATGTACGGGATTGGTAGGAACGGGGATTCCGATTTCAGAGCGCCCGTGGCTTGTGGTCGAGGGCATCTGGCACGACAGAGTTCTGGAGCTGCGAAAGCATGTCGGCGTGATGGAGAAATGATGGCACACGTACGCAGTATGTACTGACCATGCAGCCAAGGTTGTGCTTTGTATCCGTACGCCGTAGGGAGTTTGTAAGGGCCTAGCGGCGCTGTGGTGCCTGTGTCAGTTTCTGTGCTTCTGTATGGTCAGCCGGAGTAAACTCCAGGGAAGCGAGGTGGGATGAGAAGTAAGTACCGGGGGGGTTGATATTGCTTGGGTGCTTGGCCATTTGCGGGAGGCGCAACAGCTCACCTCAGTCCCCAAGGGGACCCAAGGGGAGAGCAAGAAGGGCGGTGTCGACCCATGAATGTCTCTCTTGCGCATGGGAACGGAGCGGAGGCAGGGACGGCAAATCTGTGCGAAGTACGGCGCCTTCTTGTTTTGTCTCATGGTCGTGCATGTTTGTTTGCGGAGAAGTGGGAAAAGTTGAACGAGACGATGCATCAATTGCCTGGTGCACGTTAGCAGATAGGTAGGTATTCGTAGGTAGGCAGGCACGGCTGTATGTACCTGACATGTCGACATTGTCTACCTTACCAGGCAGTGTCGTTGGATCGTGGCAGCCGGGCAACCTTGTCCGAAGGGATTTGAGGAGTGTCGAGGAGGTCTAAAGAAGAATAGCCGCAAGCTTGCCTGGTGGGGGGACTGTCTTGCCATAGGCACTTACATACTAATTAAGAATCAAGGCACAGAGGCATCTTGGGAGATTTGTTCGCAGCTCAAGCTTTTGGAGCTCGAAGCTATCTTGGCTGCTTACTTTTGGGAGGGACAGCAGAGTTGCAGCTGCCAGCAAGCATGAGGTTCGGGCTGAGGCAATGGACAACTCTGGACCAGCCACGGCGACATGCAGGCAGTTCAGGGAAACAGCTTTCATGCAGATGCAGGAGCAATAGCAGATGCGGATGAAATTGGGGAAAGGGGGGGTGAGGGAGAGTCGAACGGCACACAGGTGGCAGAAAGCCACGGCCATTGGGTTATCGTCAGGCCTGCTCTCTGCTGTCTGGCTTTTTGCTTGCTTTCTCTGCCCCCTTGTGGGCGACGAGATGGTGTTGAGCGGGAAGGAAAAGAAAGGATGGAGATAGCTTGAAGGTGTGCCCTGCTGCCGCTGCTGCTGCTGATACTTGCACACTGGATGAAGTGTTGCTTCCATTCTCATGACATCCGGTCTGTACGAACATGACCTCTACCTTCAAAGTACTACCCTACTTCCTGCGTTGCTTGCCTCTCCTTTGCGTGGGCAGGTACGAATTCTCCCTCCTTCCTCTGGCTGCACAATATTTACGCATGAATTGCATTTTTGGAAAGAAAGAATGGGGGACTGGAGGAAGCTCCTGCTAGGATTGGGCCTGCAGGAGCACACCCGGGGCTCCCTCCCGCCCTGTCGGTTGCGCGGGTGGGGCCTGGAGGTCAAGCGCGAGCGCGAGCTTGGATCGCCCCACTCGGTCTGTGCCCCACCCCACGTCCTTCCACGTCCACGTCCAGCCGTGGACTGTGAACTGTGGACAGCGGTGCCTTCTGTGTGCGTGTGCACCGTCCCAGCCAGCACCTTCTTCTCTGCCCACCACCAGCCTTCCTCCGGTGCCCCTTCCTTCCTGCCCTTTCTGTTGCCCAACATTGAGCAAGTATGGAAGTCACCCTTGAGGCGAAGCCACGCAGCTGCCCTCCAGCAACCCCTGCCCGTCGTGCCGCCAAAACGACCCGGCACTAGTCCGAAAACGGTAGGGTACGAGAAAGATGAGGGGGAGAGGGCAGGTTCACAGTGTTCCCCCCTCCCACGCACCCAAACCAGTGTCGATTCACCAGTGACCCGGCCGATACCTCTCCGCAGGGCGTGGCTTTAACACAGCGACCCTCTGTCATCGAGATCGATCAACAGAGCGTAACCCGATCAAACGCTCCCAGATCGTCTAGCGATCGAAACCAGGCGAGTGACACTTGCCCTTTCCGCTACCACATGCCTGTCCGCCACTGCAGCAGCGCAGCACTGCTGCCGCTCCAGAGTCCGGTGTCAAGGAGCCAGCCCTCCATCGCTTTCCCATACACTGCCCGCCCGTGGACCACCTCAATGTACCCGGGCAATGTACCGCCCCCCCTCAGCGCCCTTTGGAGCCTATCCTGGACTTCCTGGGGCCCTGTCTCTCGCTGCTTCTCGCTCCAGTAACCCGGCAGCCAGCAAAAGCAACCAGCCAAACACCGCACCGCACCGCACCACATTCGCGCTTTCCCACCTGCTTCCGCATGGAACATTGGTCCGATTTGCTCTCTCTGTTTTGGTGCGTGAGGAGGGGAGGGGGGGCACTTGCCATACTTTTTGTGCTGTCCCATCGTTCTAGACCGATCCCCGAGGAGCACGAACCCTGGGTTTGTATAAGACTTGGAGGCGGCCCAGTGGCACTTCTTACCTTCTTGTCCTCTCCCAACCTTTTTGGTACACCATTCCCGAAGCTCTTTCACCACTGTAAAGCTATCACGACTCACGCGAGCTCCAATATATCGACGACGAATAAGCCATCGACGCAACATTGCCTGAGAATCAGGCGGTTTTGGCTTCACAGGTTCTAGCCTTTGAAGCACATTGGCCGCCTTCCACCCCTACGAACGCCTCACGTTTATTTATCGAACTTTGCACTCGCCCGAGTGACTTCACACCGAAGTCTGGATACACCCGCCCAATTTACATATCACACGTCGATCCCCAACGTCGACAACGTCAGCAAACATGCCCAAGCGATCGTTAGACGCCAGCAATATCTCGCCCAGCATGGCTATGGACAGGGGTCAGAAGAAGGTACGACTCTTGCAGGAGCCAGTTCTGGTGCTTGGCTGCCATTCCCCTTTTATACCTTTTTCATCTCGTATCCTGCCCACTCGTCAATCCTGCCCCGAGATCCCATGCAGCCCGCTTGACTGCGTCAGCCACCCTTACATGACGGCTTCACATCACAAGATTTCCCCTTTCCCTGACTTTGGCTGACTGTGAGCGTCACAGACTGAGCGTTCTCATGAGGAGAACCAGGAGAGGGCGTACATTGCTGCATCCCGCCGAGCTGACCGGAGCATTGAGGCTCGCGTGCAGTCTGCCAAGATGGCCAGCGAGATTCACAAGAAGCGTACCGGCAAGGGCTTCAAGATTTCTGAGGCTATCGTCCAGGCCGAGGAGATGTACGAGGAAGAGGAAGACGACATGCCGAGATCGTACCGCATGCTGGCAGCCCACCTTCAGACTGGTTCACCCGAGTTTGACTACCGAGTCAATGCCTTCCTCGCGAACCGTGTGGCGATGGCTAGCATGGTCGCTGGTCTCCGTAACCAGGAGTGGGCCGACAACCCGATCAACAAGATGTTCGCTGAGCAATTCCCAAACGCCACCAAGCAGGCTCAAGCACTGTCCCACAACTTGACCAATTCCATGTACTATCAGCCCGTCGCTCCCAGCAATGCCCGTCACCAGCAAGCCCAATCCGAGGCTGCTGCGACGAGCCCAATGTCGCCGACCTTCAGCACGGTCAATTTCCAGCAAGGAACGCAGCAACGAGAGAGAACACAGTCTGCAGCCTCCCCGATGGATATGTCTACACCAGTTGCCCGTGACCCTGCCACTTCGCCACCAGCACTGTCTCCATCCTCCGAGGCTGCTATTGCCACCCCGTCGACACGATCCGCGTCCACCTTCCCGTCCCCAATAACGAGCCTGGACGCCAGCTTGTTCCCGCCAGGGTCCTCGTTCACGTCTGAGTTGCCCATGGATGCGAAGATGATGGTACCGAACTTTGACATGAACGATCCCATGTCACAGATGTTTATGGGAAACCCCTATCAACAGCAGGCGTGGTATCCAGACATGGCCGATCTGAAACACGATCCGACGATGGATGACCCGACCTTGTCATCACACGAGTATTTCAACGGGCACTTGAACCCGTACACCCAACGACTTGACGACGGGCAAAGCGAGTGTACCACACCGGGGCCGAGCGCTACCGAGAACTGGGAGTCTTTCCTTGATTTTGGCGATCATAACGACAGTGGTACCGTCGACCCGTCCTTGTAATGGATATGCACGGGTACAGCACCGTCCCGTGGCTTTAGGATTGTAATGTGGAGGGAATGAATCTGGACACGAAATGACGAAGTGACCTACTGGTTCATGAGCAAAGACTTTTTAGAGTTAGCATTGCATGGTTGGTCACGAATGGATACCCGGGGTGGACGTTGGCTTATTTCACGAATCATGCGGGAGTTTGGGTTTTACCGGGATACCTCTTGCCCACGTCTTGATGGGCTTTTGCAATTTCTTTTTTTACAGTTACAAGTCCTTTATATGGACTCCAGGGGATTATGCCCCTTTTTCATTCAACGATGGGAAGCCTTCGGAGGAAGCATCGAACACGCCGGAGCCAGGCCAATGTTTGGTTGCAAAAGGACGGAAGAGTCTACCTGCCGCCGGTACATGCTGAGGTGGAAAGTTCGTCGAAATCTCGAGTCGCGATATGAATGGACATGGAGGAACGGAGTAGGATATAAAAAAACGGAAGGAATCAAGTTTGAAGAAAAGCGTCGTTGGCAAGGCCTCACCACATGGCGATTGTAGCGCGGAAGCGCGGAAGCAAGGTGCTGGAACATGCACTTACTGGCGAGGTCGCTTTGAAGTCGAGACTACAGAAAAAAAAGCACGAAAATAAGAGAAAACACTGATTCATCACCAATATGTGTTTCGTTAGCTATGTCTGTTGATTTGTTTGCTGGTTCTGAAGAACACGCGGCGGGTAACTGCGGCTTGCCCCGTGGTTCATGTGGCAAATTCGGCGCCCGCCGTCCAAGCCACCGACCCGACAGTATCGGTTTTTTGACTCACCTGTGGAAAAGCATACTCTTTGACGACTGGCGTTTGAGTTGATACTGTTGGGTCGACGCCGCATTTCAGTGGCGCAGCACGCAAGTTCCTGATACCTCGCGCTGCGGTGCCCGCGACCAAGCCTTCATGTACGGACACAAGAACCAATGCATGGGCGTCGATTTAGAGTCGCCATAGGGGGGAGTTGCCTTTGGGAATAAACGGGTAGGGATGAAGAAGGCGGATGAGGGACTCTGGGGTGCAGTTTGGCGAACCTCGTGATATTGATGCGCCACCGTTGTTGGAGGCGTGTTCTGGACGATCTTCTCATGCCGCTACTTATGTATCTGAACGTGGCTCGACAGAATAACTCGATTTGCAGTTCCGTTCACCCCGGGGTTTAAGCTTCTTTCATATTTCCTTCGGTGGTGTGAAGGTAGGCGATGCTTGGGGCGTTGAGGTTTGTCGTGTGGCTGCTTCGGTGTCGTGGAGGCGGCGAGGTGCCTCTGGGTTGTGTGCGTGGTTGAAGCGTGGGCGCTTCTTGGATAATGTATATAATGCCGCCTTCTTAATTTGGAGGTGATGGATCGAAGACACGCCAACACGCCGAATTCTAGCTCGACGTGTAGTTTTGTTTGTGTTATCTCGGTTCTCGTGGTGGTTGGAATGCATGGGGTGCCTTGTGAGTGATCGGTCACTAGTGACGAATATTTCCTGCTGTCAGAACTCTTGCCGTGATGGCATATATGGACGGATCATCTCAGGACGACACAAAGGGAGACTGGCGCAGTCTTCACGACATTCTCGTGAAAAGGTTGTGTCGCTTCTGTGCCTCGGAATTATCAAGACGAGTGGGTCGAGTAATTCAGCATCAACAACTCGGAAGGCTGCCATCATCACGATTGTCTCCTGGTTCTGTACAGATATGGTGCTTTGGGAGGTTTTATACTTATCTTTTACATGCGTGTTCACGCTTGACGACGGTGGGTGCGTGAGTGTTGATGGGGATATAAAATGTGTTGAGGTGGTGACTGGGAAGCGAAAGAGCCACAAGAAAATGTGCCGCTGCTAACGTAACGTTTCTGTTTCCAGTTACTGGTCATGCCTTTTCTCCGCATTTTGCCTTGACTTTGAGAGCATCCATATCAGTTGAGTGCCTGCGTTGTTACTACTCAGGGTTCATGACTTGCTACCGGAGCTTCCAGATAAGTCGAATAAGGCGACGACGCTGATGAAGGGCAGCGGCGATGTCTTTGAGCTGATAGCTTGCAAACGTTTCGCGCGCAACGTTTTCGTGTAAGATGCAATTTCACGATGGGATATCACCGAATGCCTCGCTGGTTTTGGGGAACGGCGAAATTTGGCGAAATTTGGCGTTGCCACTCCTGCAACCCGTTCCGTAGCCCTTTTTATGTCCTATGTCTGTTGCTTGTGCTGTGTGGCATCATAAAAGTCACAGCAAATGAGTATTGGGACCATGGAAAGCGAGCAACAAATCACATATTCTTCTGAGCCTGACTTTTTAGTCACTATGGGGATTAGAGCACTCTCATCGGGTGGTGATCCGGGAATGTTACGAAATTAAACGGTCGTCAAGAACATAGGCATCGTAGCTTGTTGGGTGTATTACCTCAAGACAGCGGCGAAGAAGGACCGCAGCATCTGCATAGGGGGTTTTGATCACGAGAGGGATCGAGGCCGGCTTTCTTGTCCTTCAAACAGTTGCGTCACATCTTAACGCCGCGAGCTATGCTTTCACCGGGCGAGCAAACGTACAGAATTCGGGTCACTTGGTCAATGATCATTGTCAGCCACGTTTAAGTAGATGAACCACATTCGCCAGCAGATGATTTGATGGGGTGAAATCACCATCGTAGACCAGCATGTTTTGTCATAAGGGGGGTATTCCCAGCGCGTCTGTGATGCGCAAGCCAAGAATTGTTCGGTTGCATTGTATGTTCTATGCCAAAAGATTGGACAGATGTTGGTATCCGCGTAGGCGGCCTTTACGAATCATTTTATCGTAATAGCCTTATTGATGACGAGAAGTCCATTACAACTTCAGATTGAATAAGCAATGGACGGAAACGGAGAACAGCGGTAGATGAGCAGCGTCGACACATGGCTGGCCAACTTTGGCCTCTCTGAAGTCCTGCAGGCTATCGCACCATTCAACATTCTGGTGTGGGTTTACCTCGAGTCGTTCTGCGTCCATTGTCAGAGATATCTCACGCTTGTGTATCACGCTTTAAAACCCCTTTCCCGCCCGTAGGCCCTCGTCAAGCAGCGACAGAGAATTTAGCGGCACGTGTAACGCCACCACAATCCAAGTTTAAAGTTCATCGTAATCGCAGCGGTATCTGGCTGTTGTCTAAGCCAAACACACGCAGAGCCGTTGCTTTCCGAGGGACGCGACCCCGCTCGGTGACCCCGCGCCCGGAAACACGGACTTCGGGCCCACTTTCTCGGCGCCGGGCGGACTGAAGTTTGCGACTTCCTCGGTGAGGTCTTGTTCGTTGAGCTACCTACGGTGAAAATGTGTATTTGAACACTTTAACCGTTTCACCGTTTTGATTCGGCCAATGTCGTCGCGGCGTGGGTTACAATTAGCTCAGCAAAGCTGAAATGATTCCAAGGATGTGTGACTGTCTTGCGCCGCCGTCAACTGAAAAGTGCACACACACTAAGTGCCATTTGAATGTCATTTCTGCCTTTCATATCTGTCTATCGCTGTGTATTGCACATGCCAAGGATGCTCATAGTTACACGACGATCAAGATGCAAGGTAACCATGCCTTGGAAATGAGTACTCCTTGCGTGGGGAAGCTTGGTACCTGGACCAGTGTTTGGTCGTGGACTCTGCCTTCCGTCATTGGAGAAGGAAAGTTCGTTGTTTGCCACTATGAGATGGATTAAATGAGCATGTGTGGTGGCTCGCATGCCTAGACATCTTGCTGTTGAAGGCCTCCGCAGCTGATCGATGTTTAAGTTAGAGTATTTAAATCAAGCCTTGGTCCCAAAGCATAGCTTTTGCACAATGTTCTGGGACAGTGTTATCCTGGGCGTCCCCAACGTGTGGGAGACATGATAATGGTTGCTTTGAGGCTGCTTGCTATGGCAGCCACATGGATACGGAGTTCAGTTGTGGGCCTTGCGATGGGGAATCCATGGCAATGGCATTTCACCCGAACAAGTGCGAGGTACCAAAAACGAGGGAAGGAGACCACTGCTCTGAGAGAGATCAAAAGCGTTCGCATTGAATAGACTCTACCCAAGTAAATGGGAAAGCGCATATATGTCTGCCAAATCACAAAGTCTACCAGATGGCTTTGCCTGCTTGCCGGACCGACTTGACAACACACTGATTTCGAAAAGTGTAATACATACGATCGATAAGCGACTTCGCCGTTACAGCTACTGATAGCATAACCTTCAAAAACACCTAATTAATATCAGGAAAGGCTGACGCCGCAATCCTAGGCCCTCAATCCTACCCGCCAGTTTGTCAGAGTTCCTTCTGTGGGCTTGAGACGATCAGGGAGTGTTTCTCTGAAGGTGATGAAGCCAGTGCGGTGAAAAACGTGTCCCTCCTGGACCTCACCGGTAATCACCAATGTGTCTCCTGCGCCATGCAGATGGCCATTAATCACAAGCGCCTGGTTCCACGTGTGCTTGTTCTCTATCCCGGCAGAAGCAATCTCCACCCCAAATATGGTCACGCTCTTATCCAGTTTCATCTTCCACCGTCCATCTTCTTCTCTCCGAATCCAGCATTCCACTGCCCTCACACTCAGTAAGCCACTCTCGTCTACCTTGACGTGCTCACTGAGCGGTCTGGCCGTGCTGGCCGTGTCCCCTAGTGTCCATTGGCCGTCATCCCCTCTCTGAGCCTTCGGGAGCCAGCAAGCGCCCGGCTTTTGACTGGGAGGCATGGCCATGATGGATGCCAAGACGGAAGTCGTCTTAAACACCCTTGTGGCAGCCTCCTCAAAGCCTATTTCATACTCTACTGCTACTGCCTCTCCTGGCTGTAGCATTCCAAGGACTCCGTACACCAGGTCTTCCTCCACCGCGCACTTCCTAGCTCCCATATCCTTCCAGAATTCTACCAGCGACGCTTTTCCTTCACCGTACTTTTCCATGGCTCTAGCGGCACTGCTGAACGGGTGCTTACCCACCCTTGCCCGAGCCTCTCCATCACCAACGGAAAGAATGCG